TCATCATACACCACTCATCATACACCACTGATCATACACCACTCATCGTACATCACTCATCATACACCACTCATCATACACCACTCATCATACACCACTCATCATACACCACTCATCATACACCACTCATCATACACCACTCATCATACACCGCTCATCATACACCACTCATCATACACCGCACATCATACACCACTCATCATACACTACTCATCATACACTACTCATCATACACGACTCATCACACACCACTCATCACACACCACTCATCATACACCGCTCATCATACACCACTCATCATACACCACTCATCATACACCAGTGATCATACAACCACTCATCATACATCACTCATCATACACCACTCATCATACACCAGTCACCATACACCACTCATCATACACCACTCATCATACACCACTCATCATGCACCACTGATCATACACTCATCATACACTACTTATCATCCAGTTTGCTCTACCTCCAGTTGGCTCTAGTGTCAATAGCTCTAGCTCCAATAAGCTCTTAGTTTCAATAGCTCTAGCTCCAGTTAGCTCTGGTTTCAACAGCTCAAGCTCCAGGCAACCCCAGCTCCAGGTGCAGATTTCGTGGCAGGTGCAGCACTTTGTGAACCTCCATGTGCAGATTTCGTGGCAGGCACAGCACTTTGCGAACCTCCATGTGCAGATTTCGTGGCAGGCACAGCACTTTGTGCACCTCCTTGTGCAGATTTCGTGGCAGGTGCAGCACTTTGTGAACCTCCATGTGCAGATTTCGTGGCAGGTGCAGCACTTTGCGCACCTCCATGTGCAGATTTCGTGGCAGGCGCAATACAAAATGCGTTGTGGAGAGATAGCGAACGCACGAAATGTTGTATTTTTCAGTGGACCCCAAGGTCTGCGGAACGACGGTTGCGAGACGGTCTCGGGTCATGCTCGGGCATGGTCGGAATCGTCCGTCCATTGGGATTAGAGTTTTCACTTGTTTCTTGAAGCGCAGATTTCGTGGCAGGCACCGCGCTTTGTGAACCTGCATGCGCAGATTTCGTGGCGTGCACAACACTTTGTGAACCTCCATGTGCAGATTTCGTGGCAGGTGCAGCACTTTGTGAACCTCCATGTGTAGATTTCGTGGCAGGTGCAGCACTTTGTGAACCTCCATGTGCAGATGTCGTGGCAGGCGCAGCACTTTGTGAACCTCCATGTGCAGATTTCGTGGCAGGTGCAGTACTTTGTGAACCTCCATGTGCAGATTTCCTAGCAGGCACAGCACTTTGTGAACCTCCATGTGCAGATTTCGTGGCAGGTGCAGCACTTTGTGAACCTCCATGTGCAGATTTCGTTGCAGGTGCAGCACTTTGTGAACCTCCGTGTGCAGATTTCGTGGCAGGTGCAGCACTTTGTGAACCTCCATGTGCAGATTTCGTCGCAGGTGCAGCACTTTGTGAACCTCCATGTGCAGATTTCGTGGCAGGTGCAGCACTGTGTGAACCTCCAGGTGCAGATTTCGTGGCAGGCGCAGCACTTTGTGAACCTCCATGTGCAGATTTCGTGGCAGGCACAGCACTTTGTGAACCTCCATGTGCAGATTTCGTGGCAGGCGCAGCATCTGGGGAGCTGGAAGCTGAGAACTGGCGACTTTGTAGTACAACTTCAGTACGCGGAGCAATCTGTGGAGCTGGAAGCTGCGAACTGGCGACTTTCTAGTACAACTTTAGT